AAAAAGTTGTTAAACATCTGAGTGGTGCACTACTGCTACTAGTGGTGAGAAAGTGTATTGCACCTTATTCAAAATCGATGTGGTCCCACGGCCCTCTGTGGCCCAAAGTTTAAAATTGTTGTTCTTTTGAGGCCCTCAAGGTGGCGCTCGAGGCCGGCCCATAGGTCAAGAATCTGTGGGGTAAAGGACAGATGAGTGACAGGACAGTGGCACATCAGAGGGCCAATCAGATTTCAGCTGGGGCAAACGCCCCTGTGGCCCCGCCCCTGAAATGGCAGCACATACATACCAAAGAAAAGTAGATAACAACAACAAAATAAGCAGTTTGGCAGAGATGATTTGGCAAATTCTTCATGTGCACAACCCACATACTCAGCTCTACTGCTCATCCCACTACAGATAGGACGAATGACACTTTGAAGGGATCCAGATCAGAGACGTTCGATTTTGAACAAGTTACGTTATCACGTAGGGAGATGCGTCGTCACGTTACACGGGTGGAACCATGTGTTTTCTCTACCCTTCTGTTTGTTTTCCGTGAAAAAGCAAAATAGAAACAATTGTCTTGGTGGTTAAGGAGAAAAGACAACGATATTATGTATAATAAAATAAATAAAACTAGAAATGGCTATTTATGTCCACAACTTCCTATCGTTCGCTGCAAGGAGCTGTTCAAAAGATTCGGATCACATTGCTACATCCCATAAATGCTTGTTCCTTACAAATGTTACACAATTTAAAAGGGATTTTAACAGGCTTTTCAATGATATAAGATTTATAGCCAAGAAGCATCGATACAACAAAGAAATAATCTACCAAACAGACATTTCCTTACGTTTTGGGATGTTTATAAAACAAAGTTACTGTTAACTAATAAGGTTAACTCGTGGTTTTATGGTAGATAAGATGTCATGGTGAACATGTTCATATTTTTAATTATTCTGTGTAAAGAAATTGAGAAATTAATATTTGTGTTTGACTGTCCAAGTGTCTGAATGCACAAATGGCTTTCCGTTCTCCTCTGTTTTCAGACTCGGACTCATGCACTCATTTTCTCTGCTCGCATAATCCCGAGGTCATGAGGGGTCTGGAGCCATCACAGCAGTCAACGGGCAGGAGGAGGGGTACAGCCCAGAGCAGCAGCAGCCAGCTTATCTCAGGGCTAAACACACACACACACACACACACACACACACACACACACACACACACACAC